AGGAATGCTTTGGGTTGAACTTAGAAGGGAAAAAAAGCAGGTGGACCTAGATAAATAAAAGTTAAATTGGTTATAAACTGGTTTCTTTAGCGCTGGAGGCTGGTGCTCGGTTGCCACCGGGCATTTCGTCCTGGGCCGGGCACCACGGTGGCTGGTGGGAACATGCAGGTAGGGAAGAGCAGGAGGGTGATGCAGAAGGATACAGCTCTCCTGCTCGCTACAGCAGGGCTAGTGGCGCCCCTTAATTAAGTATTTTCCCACAAACTCCCTGCCTGGAGTTACTGGTTATTATGATTTATTACTATTTTTTTTAATTCCTACCAGCCTGCCAAACAGGTTGGGTGAACTGTGGCCGCTGCCTTCGTCACCACGTCCTGCGCCGAAATTGCTCCCCTGTCTCCCAGGATTTGGGAGGAGTGAGGAAAATTAAAATAAAGAGGTTTGCTGCCCCAAAATTCCTGTCGGGAGTGGTGTCGGAGGAGGCTGCCCTTGAGCTCTGCTGCCCTGTCCCATGGGGACCACGCGTGGTCCTTGCTCCAGCCCTGGGAACGATACATCCATCGTGGCCCCAGATGCTGCGTCCATCACTCCGTCAGTGATGACCACGCGTGGTCCAGCACGTGGACACCGTCGTGGCGAGGGGACCACGTCCGGCTGGTGTGCTGGTTTCTCTTGGATTTGCTGCTTCAAAATGCCCGGGGATCCTCTGGGCTACTGGGCTTCGGTGATGGGGCAAGCTGAGCCAAATGATCCCCAAAAGGAGGATGGCTTCTCCATGGTCCAGCCTGTAGCATCCATGGGCACGGATGGTTGCCAGCCTGGGGAAGGAGGATGGTTGTAGCGATGCTTTGGCTTGCAGCTGAGAGGTGGAATCTTGGGATAAGGTGGGTGAAGGTGCCGCCAGTTCCGTTGTGGGGCTGGAAGGTGGTAGAAGTAACTGGGCAGCGTGTCCAGCGCTCTTGGCCAGTGGGGAGAGGCCAGTCTGGAGCTTCAGTTGGGCTTTTGGAGCTAAGAAGGGCTTTTCCCTGGAAAGCTTGGAGGTGCCCATGGTTGGAGACTCGCTGGCAGTTGGGCTGGGGTTTGCTTGGGCAAACTGGCCTGACTGTGTGCCACCGCTCAGCTTGGGAGCAGGTTGCATAGAATCATGGAATGGTTTGGGTTCGAAGGGACCTCAAAGATCATCCAGTTCCAACCCCCCTGCCATGGGCAGGGACACCCTCCACTACACCAGGTTGCCCAAAGCCTCATCCAACCTGACCTTGAACACTTCCAGGGATGGGGCAGCCACAACTTCTCTGGGCAACCTGGTCCAGTGCCTCACCACCCTCGGTGTCAAAAATTTCTTCCTTAGATCTAATGGAAATCTCCCCTCTTTCAGTTTAAAGCCATTGCCCCGTGTCCTGTCACTACACATCCTTGTCCAAAGCCCCTCTCCAGCTTTCTTGGAGGCCTCCTTGAAGCAGGTCCTCCTGGGAGCTGAGCATCTCCCAGGACTGGACCTGGGCACCTTAAAATAGCCTCTGGGAAATGTTGGTGTGTTTTAAAAATGACACGTCCCGTTTTCTGGAGTGGGACCTACTGAGCGTTTGCACCAGGAGCAGCGGTGTGGGGTCAGCCACGGGTGGGTGGTAAGGACAGGCAGGAGAAGGGGATGGTTTAGGCTGTTGGCGAGTAGCACAGGTTTGTCATTGCCATGGTTCCCCCTGGGCCACATCCTCCTCATTGCCTCCTTCCTGGCTTGAGGTGGGAATGGCTTGGCGTGGGAATGGCTTGGGATGGGAATGGCTTGGGGTGGAATTAACGTTTCACAAGGCAGGTGGTTGTCCATCACAAGGGTCTGGTTGCCCTGTGCTGTTAAATGGGGAGCAAGCGGAGTGTGCTGCAGCTGTAGAGGCACAAGGATGGTGTCTGGAGCACGTCAACCTCCAGCGCGGCGGCGCATGGCTCTCCCCAGCCATGGGTTCTTGCTGTGCCCCGCATTTCCTCTCTGTCCCCGGTGTCTGGCCCCAAAACTACTTAGAAGCCCTTTATCTGCCAAAAATTGTTTGTGGTGTGCAGAGGTTCGGGATGCGCGTGTGCAATGAGAGCAGGGACCAGCCTCGCCACTTGGGCCAAAGTTTGGAGGTCTTGTTTTCCAGCTGTTGAAGACTGCTGGTGGGATCAGGGTGTTGGATGATGTTGATGGTTTGCAGGTGAGCAGGGCTTGTCCACTGTCGTACTGGCTGGCTGCTTGCGTGTCCTCACGTGGCGTTCAGGCTGGTGGTGCCAGTCCTTCCAAGCGTCCTTCTTGAGCTCATCCCAAGGAAGGGCAAAGCTTGGCAAAACCAGCTTCCAGCTGCTGGTTGACTCCCAAAAGCTGGCTGTGTGCCTGGGGTGGCTCAGTCAGAAAACTCGTCACTGATGTTGGGAGAGGTGGTCCTGCTCTGCTCTGATCAGAGCATTAGAGTTGGACCAGGTGAGAACAGAGGACGCTGCTTTGGTCGGAGCTGATGGACTACAAGCAGCGTTGTGAATGCTGATCTGGGTGGGCAGTGGATGAGTTCATGGCTGGGCTGGATCCTCCATGGGCTTGAGTGTCTCAAAACTCCCTGCTGTCCAAGCACACCTCCTTCCAGCCAGGCTGGGGAGATGTTTGGTGGTCATTACCTCTTGGGAAACCTTTGCAACCATGACACAGTTGGGTGTGCGACCATGTGAGGTTGGGAGTGCAACCAGGCAAGGCTGGGTGTGCAGCCACCTGAGGTTGGGAGTGCAGCCAAGGAAGGTTGGATGTGTGACCACGTGAGGTTGGGAGTGCAACCAGGCAAGGTAGGGTGTGTTGGCCATCTCCAAGGACAGGCCTCCAAGGATACATATTTATGTTTCCCCATGGAAAGCAGCCCCACGTTGCTGGGAAGTGGTGGACATCAGTAGGATGCACCTTTGGAGAGCCTCTCTCAAGCAGGGCCGGCCGTGGTGGGATTTGGGGTCCTGTCCCCCTGCAGTCGTGCTCAGGGATGTGCGTTCGCGCATCCCAGCCGTGCCTGCACGGCCGTGGCTCTGCAGAAGCTCATTTCAGGAGGTTTCCTTGGAAACCCAGCAGCCAGCACGAGGAGGGACCGTTCCTGAGACAGCTTCGACCCTGGCAGGAGGTGACCGGTGCAAGGCTGAGAGGAATGGCTTACCCCGGGACCGGGCTGCTCCGGCTCGGCGTGCGGAAGCGAGATGCTTGGGCAAGCTCTCACCAGCTGTCGTCCAATTCCCGGGAATCCTTTGCCCTCCTGCTGCGACGTGCCCGTAGACCCTAACCCGGGGCCTTTGTCTCCGCAGGAGCAGGAAGATCCAAATCCGAAACATCCCCCCCCACCTGCAATGGGAGGTAAGGAGCAGAAAATCCCAAAAGCATCCCAGAAATGAGTTTCGGGATCCCATCTCCTCCTCCATCGGTTGTGCCGAGCAGCGCAAGCCGCGCTGCCGGAGCGGGTGGTCTGCACGTGGGCTGCTCTCTACCTTCCCAGTAACCCCGGGAGGGAGGTGGAGAGTCAACTGGGCTCCGGCTCCTGCCTGCATGGGGGTCCCGGGGCCGCTTTGAGTGGTGGGACATCATTGGGGTAATGGGATGCAGGTGGGTGAAGGCATCTAAGGAGTTGGGTGACGCCAGCTCTTTGGAGGGTCTGTGGGTGAAGCCGGCTCTGCCCGTGCCTGGCCAGCAGTGTCTCCTGCCCGCCTCACCTGGCATATTTGCTGCTCTCTCCCCCAGGTGCTGGATGGCCTCTTAGCTCAGTATGGGACGGTGGAGAATGTAGAGCAAGGTAAGATGGTCCAGCATGGCGGTCCTCATCTCCACAATGGTCCTAGCACCGCTGCCCAGCTCTGCCCATGCCGGAGAAAACCCAGCAGGGTGAAACCTGGTTTTCCTGGTCATCGGTAGTGGGCTAAAATGGTCTTCCCTGTGGAGACAAGCCTTACTAGCAAATGTAGGGCCACCCAGCCGGTGGAGCGATGGCATGGGCCATCAGGTCTCCGTCCTCCATGAGACAGGCATTAACCTCTCACCATCCCCACCTGCATCAGCCCTTCGGGATGTGCCAGGGTGGCCGGAAGCGGTGGTGGCATCTCCTCCCCTGCTCTAATGGCTCCTTCTCTTGCTTTTCCCCCAGTCAACACAGACACAGAAACAGCCGTTGTCAACGTAACGTACGCAACTAAAGAAGAAGCAAAAGTGTAAGTGGGTTTCGTTGCGTTTTGTCCATGTTTTTACACCACCCAAGCTTTTCCCGAGGAATCCCAGGTATCTTCCAGGCTTCTTCTTGTCTTCCCTCTAAGCCTCCTTGGATTGTTTCTAAGCTCTTACGGTGTGACCTTCAAGTGCCTTAGGAGTTGTCTGTGTATCTTCTCAAGATGCAGCGGGCAGATGTTGGTTTTGTCTTGAGCTGTGTCATCTCACGTGTCTTCTGCCAGCGGTCTTCTCTTAGCCCCACTGCTGGGTGGTCTCCTGTCTTCTCCTTTCACATGGGAGATGGAGTTTCTCATGGTGCCCCATTGTACAGGCACCGCTGGACCAGCTTGGGGCCATCAGCCCTGTGATTGTCCCGTCTTCATCTGTGCCTTCTCCTCTTGTCCCCAAGGGACTCCCAGATGTGCCATTTCGCCATTCCCTTTGAACATTGTCCTTCCTACAAGGTCCTCTGCAGAGTCACAGTGGCCCCGTCTTCAGGCAGCAAAGCGCTCTAGAAAGCTGAGGGTCAGGTCAGATAAGCAGGTCGTCAAGGAGTCGTCTTCCCAGGTTGGAAGTCCAGACCTAAACTAGGAATACACTGGATTAATCACCAGTCCATCCACCCAGCCCGAGCTGCTGAAGAGGTGGAACTTGGTGAAGGAGGTGGGAGAGATGGTGAAGAAGCGCTGCGATGGTGGGAGATCTAAGTACTGCCCCCGCCGTTTGGGGAAAATTCAAGTTAGAGACCCAAAATGTTCAGGGACCTTCACCTCCTGCTTCCTGGAGCCCAGAGAAACCAACTGATGAAGGCTTTTGGAAAGTTCTTCTGCTGTGGACAAGAGGGAGGGCCTTTGGGTGGATGAATGACTGGTTAGAGGAGGTGAGAGGGAGGTGAGGGGTCCACGATTGGTTTCTGCAGGGGAGGGAGAGCAGCAGAGGGTAAACGACCTGCACGTTGTGCAGAGTTGTGAAGAAGTGCCACCCATCGAGTGGTGGAGGAAAAAAAAAAAGGAAAAAAAGAGGAAAAAAAAAATTAAGGGTTATTTCAAAAACGCAAGGACTACTTCAAGCAAAAGGCTTTGTCAGAGTCTTGTAGAGACTTCAGCTGTGTCCTGGAGACCACCCTCCGTTGGCTATGAGTAAGCAGCGAGCACATCTTACTTGGTGGCCTGGGTATTTTTGATGTGACCAAGAGCCCGGCAGACCCCGTGCAAGGAAGAGCTGTTGCCACAGTCCCTTTGCCGATGGACTTCCCATCTAAGTTGACCATCACGGGGTTGGTCTTGTGAGGACAGAGATGGGGAGAATGATCTGCTGGTTCAGGAGGCCACAGAACGGTCCACTTTGCTCCAGTTGGGGTGGCCACGCTGGGCATGCGGGCCGGCTGGTTGGCAGCAGGTGAAGGGAAGGTGCCGTGGACCACAGGTGAACAAGGCGTGAGCTGCTGTGTCTTGGGATGTCTGGCAAGGAGGGAAGGAAGTCTCACCAACCAAGCAGTGCTTGATGCTCTGGGCTAAGAATCTTCAGGATTAGTGAAGATGCCGTGATCTGTCGTGTCCAGCTGGACTGACACCTGTCTCGTGTGGTGCTCAGCAGCTCAAAGTAGAAGCGAGTGGTGGGAGGAGAGGCCAGGGTGGTCCGTGGGTACGTGTGTTTGGTTTAGAGCAAGCTGTGGTAGGAAGAAGTGAAAGGAAGGCTGCACCTCCAGCCTCACCAAGCTGGAAAGGGAGTTGGGGTTCCCAATAGAGGGGCACCACGTGCCACGTCCTTCTCCTCGAAGTGATGCTCTTATTCAGAACCCCTCTGCCACCTTTTCCATGCCCAAAAAGCCCACGAGAGTGTTTCCACGCTGTGTGATAGCTTCTGGCCAGTGCTTTCCCTGGGTGATGTGGCATATCCCCAGGCTGGCATCCTACCTCTGCTGTGGCATCACCCACATAGGGAGGGGACATCGTCCCACCACGCTATGGGGCTTGCTCCACATGGGGAAAGTGGGAGGCCTCTGGCTTCCAGTGGCCACCTTCTCCAAACCGAGGAGGGAGGAAGGTGGAGGGCTGGGGAGGGACCATGGTCTACAAGGGCAAGTTCTGGAGGTGTACCCATCCCCGGAGAGCCCCTCACCACCGCCCGCCTCTCCCTACCTTGCAGAGCAATTGAGAAGCTGAGCGGCCACCAGTTTGAGAACTATTCCTTCAAGATTTCCTACATCCCGGATGAAGAGGTGAGCTCCCCTCCGCCCCCCCAGCGATCTCGCCGCGGGGGCCACTCTTCCAGGGAGCGGGGCTCCTCCCCGGGGGGCTCCTCGCAGCCCAAACAGCTCGATTTCCCACTGCGGATGCTGGTGCCCACGCAGTTTGTTGGTGCGATCATAGGAAAGGAGGGCTTGACCATAAAGAACCTTACTAAGCAAACCCAGTCCAAGTAAGTACCTCGAATGGTTTCGTTTCCTTCTGTAGGGTGCTGTGGGTCCCCGGCGTTGGTCCTCCGTGCACTTGGGGCTTTGGAGTGCCGGCCAACGCCGTTTTCTTGGGGTGCAGCCTTCACGGGACGGTGGTAGAGCCCATGTCCTAAACCGTTCCTGCTGGCCAAGGGGGGGTCTGGGTGCAGCAAGAAGGGGGGGGTTTTTGCCAAAACCGGCCAGGAACGGGTTTCTAAAGCCTAAGGATGGCTGGGGATGAGGCTTTAGGGAAAAACGGCAAGTTTGGGGATGAAACGCTGAAGGGGGGTCCTAGGGACAGACCACGGTGGTCTTCACCCTTGGTGTCAGCTTGTCCCACAGTGCCCAGTATGGACTCGAGCTGCCATAGGGGGAAAGCGGGCACCGTGGGAGCGCTGCCTTCGGTGGGGTGGGCTTTCCGTAACTGTTGGAAGCTTTTTTTTTGCAACTTAACATTTTTTATTTTTGAAGGAAAACAAAAAAACCCCAAACAAATGGAAGGGGAGGGGACTGTCTTGCTAGAAGTTATCCCGTGTTTCTCTTGTCCATGTTGACGTTGATTTCACCTCTCGATTCTCTGCATGGTTTTCCCGCATGGTTTGTTCCTACCTGGATTTGTTTGGTTTTAACCCAAAGCTGTCTTCTCCCACGCTCATCATCCTGAACCCGGTGGTCCCACAGGACATATAGGACTCCTGTACCAGCACATCCTCCGGGGTGTCCTAGTTCTCAGAGGAGCTTTTTAGAGGCAAATTATTTGGTAAAGAGCGCGTCCGCTTGAGCAGGAGGTAGCGGGACGCTCCGCAGCCGAGCGAGCCGAACCCCGGCGCTGGGTTTGCAGGAAGAGGTTTGTACGGAAAGGGGGCAGACGCGTTAGGGAGAGGAGCTCTTGGAGCCCTAGAGCGTGGCCACCTAGTAGCCGTGAGCTGATGCCACCTGGCCGCAAGCCCTTCTTCTCCAGGTGAGTCCCCTGGTGTGACGAGCAGCGAGCGTCGCCGCGTCCTTGCCGCTCAAGACTGGAAGGTTGCTCTTGGCCAGCCCCGTGCCTGGCGAGGAAGGTGGGAGGCACCAGCTGCTGGTTTCTCCCAACCACATGGCCAAACGCTGCTGCCTGGGGCAGTTTCTGCCACCGAGCCGTCCCGCGTTGTGGGTTGGTTCCCTGTACCTGGCCCGAAGACCTGTTGCCATGGAAGAAGGCCGTGCTCCATGCTCTCACCTCTCCTGACCTACCTGAGGAGGCCATGTGGCATGGCGGGCCACTACCTCCGCTCCAGCCTTGGGCAAGGGGGACCTCATGCACTCAACCCAGGTAGTCACAGGAGACCGTTGCCTTCAGTTTGGGGTGTCAGCCCGCAGCTCTGTGCCTGCTCAGGTCACCCTCACCCACTGGTGTGCTGATCCTGGGGATGAGGGTGCTGGTGACATCCTGCTGCCCGTCCTCTGCTCCTACCCAGAACAACGTTGGGTCCTGGATTTCTCTGGTCACGTGGGACTTCACCCCTGTCTCCACATACAACGATTGCCGGAGATGCTTTTGACCTCCAGGGGACAAAACTGTCCTCAGGTTGAGCTGTCTTCTTCCTTGGCTGAGAAGTAGCCCAGACCAAGAGCCCACCCCACCAGAGGACCTTCCTTGGTCCTGGGTCCTCGTCACTTTGGTGCATCCATCCAGCCCATCTGTGGCTCTTGGCCCCTCTTCGGTACGAAGGCACAGCCACGTGCTCCATCTCTGCCTTGACTGCTCAAAGGTTCAAGAAGCTGCCGGATCCACCCCATCCACAGGGTTTATTGAGGTGGCCATGGATTCCCCATCGGTTCCCCCCAGCTGGGAGCGTCAACCCGGCATGGCGTTGCGGCACCGCTCTGGAGCATGCGCCTGTCATCGCCTTTGGTGGCACGTCGTGATGTGTTTGCCATCTCTTTGGTGGAGGGGGTGGCAGTGGGTGCCCCCCTGCCTGCTGGGCGCTGCCTGTGAAAGGAACACATCCTCCCAGTCAACCTGCTGGAGCTCCACAGACAGGAGCTCCTTAGAGGGTGTCACACGCAAGTGACAGCACACAACTGGGTCTCTGTGTGTTGTAGACACAACCGAAGGGTAGGGAGAGCCTGACGGTCTTGATGTCTCCAGCACCTCATTGCCTAGTCTGAGCAGGACCAGTGTCCTGCCTGAGCAGGTCTGGCTGAAGCCGTAGGAGATATAGAGGGTTGTAGCCTGCAAAAGGGATCAAACTCTGTCTTCATCCCCTCTTCAGTGTGCAGAGGAAACCACCCTGGCTTCCCTTTCGAGGCTGGTGGTGTCAGGCTCTTCCCTTATCTCAGGGAAGGTTCACCCAGCTGCTCCCCCCTGTAGATGAAGAGTCCTTGTTCCTACACCCTGGTTCATCAGCTCCTGGAAGAGTTGACCTGTGCAAATCCGCCATGACCCTACAACATCCAAACATGGTGCTTGTTAGAGGTGACTCTGCACCACAGCCCTTGGCCGTGCATGCACAGCAGCACCCATGAATGATCCCAGTTGGGATGGAGACCTCTTACAAAAACAGAGACATGGCCAGAGGGCACCGTGGTGGAGCCGAGTGCTGGTGACATTCACTGGGTGGCTGAGCGGTCACTACTGCACCTTCCTCAGAAGATCTGGGCCAGCCCAGCTCTGGGCTGCAGCAGTGACAGGGACCCCGAGGTGGTGACCGATGGTAGGATGGCTGCACGGCGTCATCCTCCAGTGGGAAGAGTGCACGGACTCAACGTGGAGAAGACGGAAAAGTTGCTTAGCCCTGTTCTTCAAGACGCGTGGTTGACGTGCGGGAGTCTCCTACCCTGCTTTCCTCTCTCCCTCTCTCTCAGGGCCTTTGCCAGGTACGGTTGAGCGGTGAGGAGCGAGCTGGAGGCACGTGCCTCCTCCCCGCCATGAGCTGAGGGGTGGACCAGAGGAGCTAGAGCACGGTCCCTGCCGGTGCGCAAGGGAGAGCTTTCTGGTCTCCCGCGGAAGGGCGTGAGTACAAGCGCTGTCGTTGACGCGTGCCTCCGTGTCGTGACAAAACGCTGCCGACGGGTAAGTTGTCTCTCTGAGTGGCAGCCGCTGGTCGCTGGGCAGCCGCGGGTGTTGTGCAGAGAGAGGTTGAGGTTGGAAGGGACCTCTGGAGACCTCCAGTCTGGTCTCCTGCTCCAAGCGGGACTGGCGTCAAAGATGTTAGACCAGGTTGCTCAGGGCTTTGTCCAGTTGAGGAGTTGTTCCGCCCCCTCTTGATGCATCGTTTGACGGTGGTTGACATCCCCCAGCTCCTGGGGAAGACCTCAGGTCATAAAGGTGAACGTAGCTCAAATCTGATCTAAACCAACTGAAGAGAAAAGCTACCTGGGCTTGCATGAGACCAGGTGATGGTAGATGTACGTCAGCGAGGCCCAGGTTCACCCCAGAGCTTGAGCAGGTGGTGCAGGTTGGAATGAGCAAGCTCAGCTCCTGAGCTCTTGAAAACCTTCATGTGACACCAGATGCATCTCAGGGTGTTCCTCTCTGCTGGTTCTTTCGCTGTAGGGTTGACATCCATCGGAAGGAGAACGCCGGCGCTGCCGAAAAGCCCATCACCATCCATGCCACGCCGGAGGGGTGCTCCGAGGCGTGTCGCATGATCCTTGATATCATGCAGAAGGAGGCTGAAGAAACTAAGTCGTAAGTGCCCCTGGCTCGGCAAAACGGGTGGGTGTGGTGGAAGAGAGGTAAATTCAGCCATCAGTGGAGAAGCAGCCATCTTCTGGCACCCTCCACCCCCTGAGGGAACTGCTGGCATTCGGAGTTCCAGGATAGAGTCATGGGTCAGTTAATGACTTACCACTTAGTAACTTCTCCATGGTGTGGTTGGCAGTGCTGTAGAGACCAGAAGCTCAGGTGGGACCAAAGAGCACGTAGGCAAACTTGGAGAACAAAACCCCATGAAATATAGATTTACCATTGGGCTTGGGAAGTCCCTGAGTTCCTGTTCCCCAGAAGCTGAAGAGATACAATGGTGGGAAACGGTGGTGGTTCTTCTGCTCCTTCCACCACATCGTTAGTGCCCGTGGCTGGAGATTTTCCTGGCCAGATGGACCTTTAGATTTTATCATTTAATCTATTTTAGAGCAGAAGAGATTCCCTTGAAAATCCTAGCACACAACAGTCTGGTGGGGAGGTTGATTGGCAAAGAGGGCCGCAATCTCAAGAAGATCGAGCAGGACACGGGCACGAAGATCACCATCTCCCCGTAAGTCCTGGTGAACATCAAGCTATCCCCCTCCATCCGACACGGTACGGGCAGCACTGGAGCCAGAAAGCAGAGCAGTTGCATCCTTCCATGCATGTTCCCCATCCTGGGTGCGTGTTCCTTATCTCAGGTGGATGGTGGCATGGGGCAGGGGGAGGGCGTGTGGTCCCACAGTGTCTCAGGGGGGGACCTTCGTCTTTGATTTGAGTTTTCCTTATGTTTTTTTGACTTGGAAAAAAAAAATAACTGCGTCTCCGGGTTTATCTGTGGGGTAGTTTGCAGGATTTAACCATTTATAACCCCGAGCGGACCATCACGGTGAAGGGCAGCACGGAGGCGTGCTCCAATGCCGAGGTGGAGATCATGAAGAAGTTGCGAGAGGCCTACGAGAACGACGTGGTGGCCGTCAATGTAAGCTCCCAGCCCTCCTGCCCGGCATGCCCCTGCTTCAGAGCCACTGCTGAGGTGGCCAGAAGAAAACCGGGAGGTGGTGATGTCGATCTGTTACGGCAAGGGTCGGTCCTCACCCCTCATGTCCACACTACGTGGTGAGAACCTCCAAACCCCAGCTCTGGTTTTCACTCGTTTCTCCATGTCTTCGCTTTCCCAGCAGCAAGCCAACCTGATCCCAGGACTGAACCTCAGTGCTTTGGGCATCTTCTCGACGGGGCTGTCCATGCTTCCATCCACCCCGGGGGGCCGAGGGGCTGCAGCAGCCACCCCGTACCACCCGTTTGCAGTAAGTTCAAGAGGTTTTGGGGTGTGGGGGATGCGTTCCGAGCGGCAGAGCGGTCTCTAGGCTCTCCTACTGTAGCTCTTGGGTTTGAGTGGACACCGTAGCTATAGGAGCCATCTCATGGGGAGCCTTGAACAAGAGCTCTGACTCTTGGCCGTTTAGGGAAGATGCTCCTCACAGCTGCTAAGTGGAGAAGACAGTGAATGAACGTGGCTTGTCCCTTCTTGGATTCAGCTGCATCCCAGTGTTGTGCTCAGCTTGGTTTCACCTACGTTTAAGGACTGGCCACATCCCAAGTCTGCTGCTCTCTGAAGGTGTCCAGGGGCAATCTGTGCCGATGCTGGCATGGAGAAACCATCTGGGTGGTCTTCAGTCCTGACCCCCAACCCACCGCTGGGTTGCGATGGTGTGGGCGCAGTTGTGCCCGGCGGGTCTGGCCTCGGTGGCCGCCTGAACCCATCGGCATCGCCACAGGGCGCGTGGAGTGTGGCATCAAAGAGGATGAGCAGCACAGCCTGTGCACCCACCACCATCAGAATTGATCCCGTGGTCCTTTGATCTACCTTTGACGGGTCGTGCTTGCTGGGAGCCAATCTTCACCTGACCTCGTAGGCGAGGGTTCCCCTCTTCCTTGGGGCGCTGTGGCTGATGAGACCTGGGGTAAAGCAAGCCTGAGGAGCAGTTCCAAAACCACCAAGGTTCCACGCGGGCAGGGATGGTCCAGCGTCAGAAGACCGCGCTGGCCAAAGTGTTGATGGAGAAGGTCCATCCCCAACCCACTACCACCTGCAGAGCACCCTTAGGATGACCAAGCTCTCTTAGTCCTTCTAAATACTTCTGCTGAGATGGTTCGGCTGCGCGGCGACCGGCGCGCGGGTTGATTCACTTGTGCTGTTTTCTTTTCCTGGCGACGCCAGCAGCAGAGCGGTCGGAGGAGAACGGTGAGTGCCAGGCTGGTGGTGCGGAGGAGAGGATGAGTGTGATGTGTGTGGTGGCTCTTGAGGGCACCAAGAGGGTCGGTCGGTCTGTTGGGGAGGATGCTCTGCCCACATTGGCTGCCCAAACGAGGGCAGCCTTCAGAAGACATCTGCTTGAGCGTTGATTGGTGTGATGGAGAGGAGCTGGGCAGGTCTCCTGAAGGGCAGCGGTTGGTGGGGGCTCCTTCACCCCAAAGCGATGGCCTCTGCAGGAGCAGGAGAAAAAAAACAAACAACAAAATGAAACCATCTTGGCTCTGTGGTGGCTCCATCCAGCCAAGTACTTTGTGTTTCACACCTCAGAGTGGTCATTTCTGACCGTGGCCTCAGCAGGACCTGGGGCCGGTGGGTGTAGCTTAAACCAGAGCTTTAGAGACCTGGTGAGGATGGAGGATGGGGAAGGAGCCTCACGGTGAAAAGGAGGAGCTGGGGACATGCAGTGCTTTCCCTGACTGTGAGGACAGTGTGGGCAGGAGAGGTCACGTTGGTGTAGGAGACATGGAGAATCCATGGAAAGGGCAGACGTGGGGAGCATGAGCTTGGTGCAAGTAGGAGCTCGAAACCTGAGAGTGGTGAGTTTAAGTAGAGGACCAGGAGTGAGAATGGTGTGGGCAGCAGGGCTGGGTCATCTCCGCCCGAGCAACAGTGGTTTGCAGGTAGCATCTGGTTGTGCTTGCCCAGATCCAGAGTGGGAGAGAGTTGTGTCCACTGCCAGGAGAAACGTCTGACGTGTTTGAGACACAGAAGAGTCAAAGAGGAGTTGGGTTGAGTTGGATTGGGCTGGGTTGAATTGGACTGAGTTGGGTTGAGTTGGATTGAGTTGGGTTGAGTTGGATTGGGTTGGGTTGAGTTGGGGTGCTGGCACGCACCCCTTGCTTTCTCCCTGTCCCCAGCCTGGCCATGCTCTCACCCCGGTCTTGAGGGGAGGAATGTCTTCTTCAGCCTTTGCTTTATCTCCTCTGGAACTGGAGAAGGGACATGGTGATGGACACGGAGCCAAACCAGACGTTTTGCTCAGTTCTCACCAAACCCCACCTTCTCCGCTGGGGACCGACGGTGGTTACAGCGTGGTTTTGGCTTTCCAGGATCGTGGCTGCTCCGAAGGGCTGTAGGGGCTGGTTTTCTGCTACAACCGCAGGACACAGGCGGAAAAACACCAGTGGGGAGGGGACTGGGGGTAACTGTTTTTCCGCTCCCCAGCCCCATCGCGCTGCGCTGCCGGCACAGGATCCGGGCTGCAGCTCACCCCCCCTCACCCTTGGGGGCACCTGTGCTCTCTGAGTGGGGGGTTTCAGGGGCTGTGGGGTTGTCCCCATGTCCCTGCCAGGCCCACGGTGGTGGCACCTGCTCTGCATTGGGCTGGGGGTGGCCGGGAAGGAGCTGGGATGTCGGCGACATCACTGACCCTGGTTTTTCTCTTCCCACCGTAGAGCTCCTCGGCGTATCTCTCGGGTCTGTACGGAGCCCCCCCGGCTGGCACCTTTCCCCATCAGCACCCTGTAAGTGCCCAGCACCCCCTTTCCATGACATCTCCCCACCTTGGGAGGGTGGGCACGGGGCTGGGGTGGGCAGATGCTGGCAGGGAGGGAAAGCCACCCCCACCCCGGGGCGGCCT